CGAGCTACTAGTAGCTTCTTGCTCCTAGTAGTGCCAGGAGCTACTAGTAGCTTCTTGCTACTAGTAGCGATGCCCTTTGCTCCTAGTAAGGTTGGAGGCCATTGCTCCCGAGGCGTTCCAGATTTGTGGACACGGTAGTCACCGGCCATGGATACGTCAAAGAGGTCCCTCTGTTGGACTCCCTCTGAGGTAAGCTTGGTTCCTTGAAACAAGAGGTTGCTATGGTTGCTGTAACACCACTGTGATTTCAGAATCGAACAAAGTTGCTAAGTGACGAAGGCTCCAGCAAACCTCATAAGCACATTCGACTGGAACTGCCAGAAATAAAGGTATGTGGTGTTCACATTCAATGTATTTTGCATAATTTCGTTCTGCAAATCGCAATCATCGCACATCGACATAGCGACGTAGCCCCTAAGAGACATATTGAATAAGATTGCTGTGCAATGCGTTGGCAATGCGCATCGCATTGTGATATTCACACATTTAGGTACTGAAACGATGCAAATGACACTCCCTGGCAACAACAAGACTCTTTTCATAGTGACAGTCCGACACTGAAACTGCCACAGCCACGAGTCTACTTTCACTTCGTCCGAACTTAATAAATGGGGAATCACGCGCGACATGCGACACGCGCGCGAGACACGCGCGAGATGTGTGCGAGACGCGTGCGAGACATATCGAGATGTGCATCTGTGCGACGCTGAAACGTGAGAAACAATGTTCGCTACTAGTAACAAGTGCCACGCTAGTAGTAACAGGTGCCTTACTAGTAGTAACAAGAAGCTACTAGTAACAAATGCCACGCTAGTAGTACCAGGTGCCTTACTAGTAGTAACAAGAAGCTACTAGTAACAAGTGCCACGCTAGTAGTAACAGGTGCCTTACTAGTAGTAACAAGAAGCTACTAGTAACAAGAAACGTGAGTCTTTTTCCTAATTTTAGCAACAAAATGAATAGTGCGACCGCATCTTCAAGGAAGCTCTCCCCGCCGCCCTTAGATCCTGCGTCCAGTAGGTAGTAACTTACTTAGCCCTTAATTAGACGCCTGCTTAATTAAGTCTGTCTCCAGCTATTCGGGGAAAAAAAGAAAGCAAGGTCAAGCATACTTAAAGAAAGAAAGGGATGAAAAGAGCGAGAGAGAGAGAGAGAGAGAGAAAGAATTCAAGAGTTTCTATTGCCTTTTTTTGGGGCGCAGTCTCCACCTAGGCTCGGCACTTGAAAATTCTGAGTCGCCACCCATGCCAGTCCTTCGTGGATGCGACCTGGAATCAGTTTTGACAGCACATAGATTGTGCCTTCTATAATGCCTAAGAGCAATCGCCTCCACCATCCTCCACCCTAGTAGCGATGGCCTCCACCCTAGTAGGGATGGCCTCCACCCTACTAGTGATGGCCTCAAACCTACTAGCAATGGCCTTCACCTACTAGCAATGGCCTTCACCCTAGTAGCAATGGCCTCTACCCTAGTAGCCATGGCCTCCACCCTAGTAGCGATGGCCTCCACCCTAGTAGCATTGGCCTCCACCCTAGTAGCGATGGCCTCTACCCTAGCCATGGCCTCCACACTGGTAGCGACCATGGTTGTTTCCAATTCAATTGTCAAAGTTCACATGACAAGGTCAACCTAAGAAGCAAAAGAAACAATCATGCATTGAAATGAAATGAGTGTGTTCGTGCTCTTGTCACTACTGTCTTGTGCACCTGTCGGGTCATCCCGCAAAGCCTGTGTAGGACAAAAATGGTTGCAGTAGGCGCCTTGATGACTCCTCTGTGTTTACTATGTGTCGAACCATCGCCTAGCAAAAATGCAGCAAGACACAGAGAGACAATCCGCATACCAGTGTAAAAGGTGTGTTATCAATTTGCATTTCTACTCATATTAATGTTATGTTTCTTGTTCAGCTGGCAAATTGCAAATTCTGTCCGCCGTCCACCTGAGCAGGCTAGCACTCGGTTAGTCAAGCAATGGATGCTTGCAATATAGACAACGTTTTTCCGAAAAACTGCTAGGATTTTCTCGCTCTGGCGCTGGTATTCAATTTCCTTGCTCCACTGCAGCCCTTGCAGTACTAGTATCCTTCTGTGGAGGTCAGTGACACTTCTAAAGTCATGGAAAAGACACATCGTATTGGCAAGAACGCTTCAGGATAAAGGATTACAACATTATAAAGGTCAAAGACAAGCACAAAAAGAAATAAAAACCTCGTGATGTAGATGAAATTAGATGGAATGTAGTACCACTCATAGTAATGAAGTGATCTAAAAGTTTCCTAAGATGTTTTTTTTCAGATTCAACCTAGTTGAAGGATAAAAGAGTTCTTCAAGGAAGCCTCGCAGCGCCTAGCCTACCTACTTAGCATCTTATTTACACCTACTTACTTACCTACTTGGCTATTTGTAGCAACTTACCTACAAGCTACTTAGCTACTTGGTTAGCTCTCCTCATGGCTTTAAACACCTAGCTACAGTGTCAACTTGAAATGAACCGCAAATGAGACCTGGACCTCACAACAAACTGTCAGATTGTGCGTTTTCTTCTTCCTTTCTTCCTTTGTTCTTAATCTCTCGTTGTACACATTTGGTGCTCAACTTTCCAATCTTGGCGTTGATGGGAAATGAAATCAGTATCTGTGTCCCATACTTTCACATAAACAACACCAGATATACAAGACTCTAACGCCCAAAGCCCAGTGCCTCCAGCTTTGACCTGCCGAAACAGCATTGCCATCGTGATCGAGAAACCTGATGCTTTTCAAACCATGTCGGAAAAGGACACTGTGGAACGGATGCTTTTTCCCTAAAAATTCTAGGAACCAAATGAATAGTGTAAGAGCTATCCTGCGTCCTACCTAGCTACCTAGGAGCTTACCTCTCCGTATCTCTCGGTCGTCCCGAGCCTTTAGCAGTCAAAGTCAGGCGCTGATGGCCGAGAGTTGTTCTAACGCTTGCCACCGTGCAAGACTACGGAAAACCTGGGGTAAATTATGAATAAGAAGCACTTACTCCAATTTCGAAACTTTGTTTTAACAAAATGCTCTGGATGGGCAAAGTTGTTTCTACGTTGGTACCTTAGGTTGAGAACCAAAACCTTGCAGGACACAGTATTCAAGGCTTTCATGGTTTCTATGGATGCTCTGTGGCTAAATATCTGTCCAATCTCTCCACAGCCTCGACGGAATTTCCCGTTTACCAACTTACCCAGTACCGTATCAATCCGTTAGTAAGTAGCGTCCTTGCTCCCAGTAGTAAGGCCAGGAGCCCCTAGTAGCGTCCTTGCTCCTAGACTCCTAGTAGTTTTTGGACGTTCAATCCATGACATTGGGCCTCTTTGAAGCCCGCTGCGTTGCGATCGGTTTTGTGAGAACCACCAGCGATTCACCAGAACCTTTGGTTCGGCCAATCCTGATGGATGACTTTTGCCATGGGTGCACTAGGTTGGAGGCCATTCCTAGGTTGGAGGCCATCGTTCTTAGAAACAAAGAAAAACAAGAAGGAAGAAAGGATAAGAAAGGTCTAATGCAGTTTGCTATTAGGTGGACCAATGGCATTGCAATGGTGCAGCGTCACCTCCTGCGTTGTTCCACAGGCTGACGATGTGTCCGCACCGGGACTTTCACAAACATACAGGACCAATACAGGAATCCAGAGGCACGGCAGTTTGAATAAACACTGGGCGCCGAACATGCTCGGCACAATGGGCCAAGGTTCTGAAACCAGGCTGCCACTTCAAGATGGACTTCTCGTCTTGCAAGGTATGCCAATGTCAATCACACGTGCATCATGCCACAAGAATGCTGGATCCAATCTGGCATGATCAGAGTGGCAGTCTGCTTGTGACCCAGGAACTATGACGGCGGACGATCACTAGACTCTTGCTCTTCGCGGAGAGTCTAGCTAGGCCGCAGAAGTGTCACTTAAAACGAGAGATCACTTAATTAATTTGCAAAGGATCAGCGTCTTAAACACACACACCTTCACCAGCTCTGGACCGCTGGAGGTGACTTGCGTCCCTTCATGTCGCTTAAAAGATGGCAACACTTCCTCATCGGAACCAAGCCCTCTCCCTCACACTAGTAGTGTGCGGTCTTTGAATGTGCCCCGGTCCTGGATTGGGGCACAGCTCGCCTTTCCAAACAAGGCATCGCTCTACAATGCTACAAAACTAGCAAGAAAACATGACAGGTCCACTTGTTGAGGAGATGCAAGAACGAAACCAAGTACTATATAGTTGCTTTGACTCGATGTGGACTCAAAAATGACTAGGAAAGGCAAGGCAAGGGAAGGCATTATTTCCATGTCTTTTGAACTGCTTCCACGGAACAGCAGATCTCTGTCAGAGGATCTTTTGCTCTTCGGGAAGTTGTACCTAGATTCCTGCTACGATTATGAAGTATTTACAAACTGGCCATCACGACAAGCAAAATGGTTGTGGAGGCCCGGCATCAATCTCTTCAGAAATTTCAGGTTTAATCGGCAGCTTCAACCTGAGCGGCAGTGCGAGTGAATGCCAAAGGCCCTTTCAAAACAAAGGGCTTCGGAGAAGCGTGAGCTACTCCTAGTAGCTTAGGTAGCATAGGAGCTGAATCCAAGAATTAGGTGACCCTACTGCAACCCGCGGGAAATCCTTTTCTCCACGTGCAACTGTGCAGCTGATTCCGCAATCCGGACCCGTCGGACCCGTTGGAGTTGGGCGGGGTCTCGTCGAGATGGTCCGAGATGACGGAGATGTGGTCGAGAGGCGCTTCCTCCCTGGCGTTTGTTGACACAGAGAGACGAAAGGCCAGCAATTCATGAGCACATGCTGCATGCTGTTTCAAACTGTGCCCAACATGAATTGGTGAAAGGCAAGGAACGCAAGGAACGGCTCGAGACCCGTCGAGCTGTTCAAGCTTTTATCCATCAAATCGCTGCTTTTCCGCTCAAGCCTCAGAGTTCGACCGCTTTTGTTCAAGACTTCAAGCTTTTTTTGTTACAACCATGCCAATCTTGGTCTGCTGCCGCAAAAACATAACACACATGATTTCATTCATTTCAGTTTGGCCGTTGGGGTGGATCCAATCAGAAACTTCTTATTAACACTACCCCTGACCAACTTGCGAGTCAACGTCGTATCAGGTTTTGTTGACCTTCGTGAAACACTGGGCGTCTAGCGGTTTCGGATCTGTGTCAATCCTGTCCATTATTTGGTTCTTCCTTCTCCGTTTCGCCCTTGGTGATTGAACCACCCATGACCTTGAGCTTGCTTCTACACAGGTATCCCTCGTTCCGCGTCTAAATCATTCCACGTCACTGTAGGCGCTTCTTTGGTGGCTCCGAGCGTGAGAGCCTGGACGAACATTTCGATGCTACAGAGCACCTGAATGACCATCGACCATCGGAAATGTGACAACAATTTCTCAACTTCAAAGTGTTGTAAAAAAATAACTATTAGAATTAAACTAAATTTAAAAGTAATTCTAATAGTTTCTTGTTACTACTAGCGTGGCACTTGTTTCTAATAGCGATGCACTTGTTACTACTAGTAAGGCACCTGTTACTGTTGTAAAGAAAGGTTGTGTTTTGTTTTCAGCGTCAAATAGTGCAGTTCAAGTCGCATGCCACGGGAACTCGTTTGATTTCGTGGGGACTCATTGGATATCTTGCTCGAGGCCCGATCCCGGTGAGTCGGAGTTCCCTGTCCTTCCAAATACCTGGGACGAACAAAATGGAACAAATGCACCTAATAGCGTCCTTTCTCCTAGTAGCGAACATTGCTAGTAGTAAGGCCAGGAGCCCCGTTCGTAGCATCCTTCCAACCTTCAAGTGTAGGGAGAAAACGGCGAAAAAGGTCACAATGGTTCAAGTGGAAGGTGTTCGGAAGCGTTCTGTTTGAAGTAACACCCAGTGACATCCATTCCCTAAGCAACGGTCACGCTCTTTGAGAAAGTCGTTGGTGCAACTCACTCCCAAGCCACTTTACATCGTTGAATTAGGTGTCCCAAAGGTCCCAAAGAAGTTAATTAACTCCGCTTATGTCTTGCTCTTCTGCTTTAAGGCGTCTTTACGGCCATATTAAGGCCTTGTTTATTTTCCGTCAAATCGCAGCAGGGGGATGTTTGGGGGTTGATAGGCTTCTATGATTTTTGTGTTCTCATTGAGCCTTCCGAAGCGGCCATTTCCGGCCCTCACCCCATGATTTATCTTTCCCAAAATGTTTTCTTCAACACAAATCTCTTTGCTCAACACCCCCAGCTGCTAGACTCAACCCCGGGAATAAGTATTCCCCATTAACAAAAAAGTTTCCAAAATTGTCTGCTTCGTTTGCTGTTTGCTTCTCTTTCAGAAAAAGAAACTGAGAAGGTTAGTATGAAGGTCCATTCTTCTCAGCAGCAACGGCCTACGGCCGTCTGGAGCTTTTTTGAGATAGCGCATAGGGGCTTCAACTCATAACGCCCCCTAAACGAAGCCACATAGACTCTCACCTACTCACTCAAAAAGGAATAGTTTGCGTGCAAACGCCAAACAAAGCATGCCAGCCATCATTATCGCATAGCTCCACAAATTGCCTACGTCTATCCATCCATCCTTCCCTCCCCTCCATCAATCCATTTGCTCAACATTACGCGATCACGACCTATGTCTCGCATTACCAGCATCATCAAGCACCCAAAAAAAACACAAATTGTGCAAGCCTTTGACCCACTAAGTTCCACCAATTTGGACCGTTTTGGCCCCATCTCTCACCCCTAAACTCACTTCCGCAAATATCGAACTTCAGTGTCGTGGCCTGCTGGCTGGCTTTCGTGCTGGAAATGTTCCTTCTTTCGCCTGACCATTCCTTTTTCGATTGAGCTTGACTTCCCAGACGCAATACTTTTCTAGATAGAAAAGTACGATATAGTTTGTACATTAGTATATACCTACGGTAGTACTGCACTGCACCAGTAGCAGCCCTCATTTCCCCTCAGAAAGCTCTCCAGGTGGCCGATTGCGTTCCTGCAGCTCTGTTCGGAGCTCAGCAAGTTGTCGGCTGAAGTCCACCTGCCGTTTCGGGCGATTCCTAAAGAAACGTCGTGGGGCGCTAAGGTCAAGCCGGTTTGCCAGCTAAAGAGAGCCCAAAAAATAATCAATTACTATCAAAATTTGGGCGCGAAAACCCCTGGAAAAGGGTTCGAACTAACACTAAAGTTGCCATAAAAGGTGATGATTTTATTATGCAAATTTGATCGCCCGCCTGACAAAAAACTGCCAAACATCCAAAACACCAACGGAACCGAACACTTGGAAACAATAGAAACAGGGTTTTCCATCCATACGCTTTTATGGCCATTTCATTGCTATGGTCAGATCCCTGCTTTGCATGTTTCCAACAATACCTTTTCAGCGAGATGTCAAACCTTTTTCGGTTTCCAGGTATGAACAAAATGCTTTCAAAAGGCACTTGGAAGATCAAAGTGCGAAAAGGCATGAAAGTTGTAAAATGTTGTGAACACAACTTCTATTCTGCTGATTCGATGTGAACCTATAACAATTTCTCAAGCGGATCACAGTGGTATGTGGGACCTAAGACCCTGAAGCAACAGCACGGGCAGCATAGAAATCACCACACATCCCATCGTTTTTGTAAAAAAACATAAAGCCCCTAGTAGCGTCCTTGCTCCGTTCGTAGCGATGCCCTTTGCTCCTAATAGCGTCCTTGCTTCGTTCGTAGAGATGCCAGGAGCACCTAGTAGCGTCCTTGCTCCTAGTAGCGATGCCAGGAGCCCCTAGTAGCGTCCTTGCTCCTAGTAGCAAGGAACGGTGAAGATCAATCTGAACAAAAAGAACATATCCGAGCCGTGCCCTCAACACAAGCTTGAGGCAAACGCTCCAGTGAGCAATGTCTCATGTCTTCGCTGCACACACCATGAACAATCGCCTCTGTTGAGCACTGACCATAAGCGGAGCCAAACAGAAACTTGCATCGCTTGCGCATGGGCTGCACTGTGTGGACTTCCAAAATTGGAGGGGCCTAACATGCGCTGGGATGTCGTTGAGACTTCAGGAGGTCGTTGCAGTGCTTTGATGACTTGTTCAACGGTGAGACCAGCGCCCGAAATTCAGTATATGAGAGCCAAGGCACTTAGACACTTTTTTGAGGTGAGCGATCCAAAAGAGACGGGAATCGCAAAACTTTTTGAGGAGAAAAACTTGAATTGAACAGGATTAACAATGATAAACATAAATATTTCCCGACGTGGTATTTAAAGCACTCTGCGGACACCTTCCAAACTTGAGCAATTTACAGCGTTCTTGGATGTTCTTAAAGCTCCGAATGTGAGATCTGCTAGTGTTTTGAAAGTTGCTGAAGATGTTATGCGTTTGCCTTTTGAACTCTGAATGAAGCATATTAGTGGCCTTTGCAGAATAGAAACATATCTCCGACGTACAGCCACTGGGAGACCTTCAGCACTTTGGGTGTCACGTGTGTGACCGGCATGACCAGTGTGACCTGTACTTTAAAAACTATTGGGTTCTGGGCACCAGATTTGCATCTTGGGGTTGTAAGCGTTCAAGCATGTTTAAGCCGCTTGGTCTTTGCGGCGGCAGAATGGTTCCTAGTAAAAATGCACCTTGTTACTAGTAGTTTGGCCAGGAGCCCCGTTCGTAGCGTCCTTGTTCCTAGTCCTTCCTTGTCGAAACGCCCAGGGGTGTGAAGTCGTGTTGTCTGCGACGGGTCTCAACGCGCAACAGAAGTCAAGTTGCGTGTAAAGATCCTTTGTGGCAAGGGAAGGGACAACAAATGTGTCAGGCATGACAGGACAAGGCAAATGCATAGCCTGCAGCGGTCCAGGTATGAGAAAACAACTTTCTCTGCCAAGGGCGTGCTGATTGCATAGTGACAGCAAGGACAGACCCGCGCAATCAAGTTCCCCACAAGCCATGTGTTGTCTTTTCCAAAAAATAGATCACACTCGCGATTTGCGAAGTATATATATAGTTCTTCTTCTTTGAGTGGGACAACAGGTTTCAACTAACTATTTCATTGCATAAACTCATCCTATACATTTTGCTGGCTCTTCTCTATCTCGATACTTGAGCAGAGATGGAACAGGCAGGGTACAGAAGGAAAAGAATGAAAGAAAGAGCAAAGGGTTTCAAGAGGTCTCTCGACTACGGAAGACTGCTAGTGCCCAGGCTGACTGGAATGTGTTTACAGGCAATACTTGCTAAGTGACAAATCCATCCTCACGGTCTTAGCCTTACAAAGGAATTGCTGTTTAAAATCATGGACTTATGTTTTTGTTGTTTGCTTTTTGGTTGGTGTTCTAAACTGGGTAAGGGAAAGGAAAAAGGGAAAGGAAAGGGAAAAGGAAAAAGTACAGTAAAAAATGAGAAAGGTTAGCGGAAAGGGAACGGATAAGGGAAAGGACAGGAAAAGGGAAAGGAAAAGGGTATATGGGAAACGGAAAAGTAAGAGAAAAGGCACAAGTTCAGGGCAGGAAAGGGAAAGGAAGAGGGAAAGTGAAAAGGAAAAGAACAGGGAACGGTTAAGGAAAAGGGAAGGGATAAGGAAAAGAAAAAGAACAGGGAAAGGGTTTGTATAAGGGGAAGGAACATGGAAAAACAGAGAATATGGAATTGGTAAAAGGGAAAGGGGCAGGGAAAAGAAAAACAACAAGGAAATGGTATAAGGGAAAGACACAGGGACAAGGAAAAGAAAAGGGAAAGGGACAGGGAAAAGGAAAACAAAAAGGAAGGGCGTAAGGGAAAGGGACAGGGAAAGGGAAAAGAAAAGGGAAAGGGACAAGGTAAAGGAAAAAAGGAAAAGGGTATAAGGGAAAGAGACAGGGAAAGGAAAAGACAAGGGAAAGGGACAAGGAAAAGGATAAAAAACAGTAAAAGGATATAAGGGAAAGAGACAGGGAAAGGAACAGGCAAGGGGAAGGGACAAGGAAAACAACAGGAAGATGCTGGTCTGGACCACTTGAATGTAGTTCACGTTGGCCCAACTTTTGGTCTGGCTTCTTTGGGTTGCATTCCGGGTGCCTTCGGACTAATTTGTTGAAACGCCTCCATTCGGTCTTTGAGCAATGAAAACACTCAAGGAAAGGCTCGCGATACCCAACTACTATAGGCTATCTCAAGAGGAACCCACAAGTCTTCAACCCACATCCTTTCTTCAGCTTCCTGTCCTATGCATTCTTCCGTTTTTATTGTTTCTTTCGTTGAAGCTTTCTTCCAGCCTTTATTCCTTGCACCAGCTTCCGCCCATACTTCCAAGAACACTTTCAGGTTGGAGGCCATTGCTAGTGGGTTGTGTTTCTCTATTCCATTCTGTCATGCATGGGATGCCAGTCATGCAACTGTGCTCCTCGAGCGCCACCTCTTGGATGTCACTTGCCAAATATTCTTGTGGTCTTAAACAAGCAAACAAACAAAGTAAGGACAATCAGAAGTTTACTTGGAGAACATGACTAACACAGTTTAAAAAACAATGTGGCCCTTGATCTTGTTGTTAGCTCCTTTGCTAGTTCTTATATCAATCGTTCCTCACAGTCATTCCTCACAGTCGTTCCTTGCGGCCGCAGTGGCCCGACAAGTCACAATTGTTTTCTTTCGGGTGAAGAGTCCGTCATTTCGATGAACCGGTTAGGACGAAACTCGAAAATACAACCAGAATAGAAAGGGTTCATTAAAATGTGCATCTTCTCAAATGAAAATGGGTAGTTTTGCTACAGGCCAGGCTTGGTGACGAGTTGGCTCCACATAGGCTTGGCGCTGCAAGCAACTCCAAAAATAGACCGAGATTTGCTAAACATCTGGCAAAACTTGAGATTTCATGCAAGACCGGCGCTTAAGACCGCAAACATCAACAAGTAGTCTAGGCAAAGTGAAACTATCAGTGTTTTAGGAATCCATGGCGTTGGGTAAACAATATCATGCGCGCGTAGAACTAGCGCAGGTTACCTGGTAGTTGTACCTAGTAGTTGGCCTGCCGCGCGGCCGGTTCATTTCCCTCGCTTCCGAGAATTTTTTGGGGAGCATATTAACATCGACGCTGCTTAGGTGGATGCTATATTCATAGACATCAGAAGGCAAGCGTCGCGCCATCCAACCTCGGCAGGTGTGTCACCAAAGTTTGCCAAACCTGTGAGCATTACATCTCCGGGAGGTTTCGCTCAAGCAGCGCGTTCCCTCCAGCTTCAACAGAAAGTTGAAAAGCAATGGGCCCCAAGATCCAAAAAATATCGGTGGCCGCCCTTTACAAAACCTGCAGTGGGAATGTCTGGTCGGTGCAGTTTGGTGAAGTTGGTAGGTCTTGTGGTCTAGGAAGCTCTAAAAGCTTCGGCCTCCTTCGGGATAATGCGTAGGGGACGGATCGCCAAAGCCCTGAAGAAACCTAAATGAAAAACTTGCCTGAATAGAACGGGCACTATGTAATCCGGTCTAACCATCTTGACGACACCAAAGCTCCAAACCTCCGAAGGTCCATGGACGTTCTAGTTCCACAGCGCGTGACTGCGGGGTGCAGAACACATGCTGAAGGCTGGCGATCTTGTTGTAGCTAAAAGGGTGCTGAGTGGAAAATAAACGTCAACGCTGCAAGTACGTGACTTTGGCGTCCCAAAGCCATATCACGACACTATGATATGGAAAAATCTTTGTTAGGCAATGCTTTCCAACGTGTCCATTGCCCCCTAAGCTACCTAAACATTACCAAAGGCCCGCTCTGATTCCAAGGAAGATACACCTAAATCAAATCAATTAACCATGCGTTTCCCAACCCAAGAACTTTGCTTTCCAGACCCCTCAACAACCACAGAAACGCTACAGTAAACCCCATGGAATTTCAATAATGTGTGTTCTGTTAAAGAAATGATGGTCCCAAAACAACACGGCCGTATACAAGCGGCGGACCTAGTAGTTTGCTTAACCCTTACTTAACGAAGTATGCTTAAGCAGTAGGGGCGTGGAGCGGGCTCCAAAAAAACACACACACACACACACCCACGCACCTTCATGTCGTTGACGGTGTCTTGCAAGGATTTGGTTGCCAAATATGAAGCCACGGTATCACTCTTGCTCACCTGGCAACGCAAAGTCTCAAAACAGCATGGCCTTGAGGCCTAGCGCAAACCGAGAGACATTCAAATGATCTGGTATGATGGTCTGTGGTTCAGGGGAACCCGCAGTCCTAGGCCTTCAATCACCATCATGACTCTTTGGAAACCTGCCTCCCCGTTCTTGGAGAAAACAAAAAGTCAAGCGACTCAAATCCAACCCGCCGTTCTTGGAACCCGCTCCTCGCCACGGATCTTCAACAAACCCTGCACCAGCTCCACGACTTGAAGTGTGCCGCTACCGTCTGCATCAATAATCTCAAACCTGCAGTGGGAATGTCTGGTCGGTGCAGTTTGGTGAAGTTGGTAGGTCTTGTGGTCTAGGAAGCTCTAAAAGCTTCGGCCTCCTTCGGGATAATGCGTAGGGGACGGATCGCCCAAAGCCCTGAAGAAACCTAAATGAAAAACTTGCCTGAATAGAACGGGCACTATGTAATCCGGTCTAACCATCTTGACGACACCAAAGCTCCAAACCTCCGAAGGTCCATGGACGTTCTAGTTCCACAGCGCGTGACTGCGGGGTGCAGAACACATGCTGAAGGCTGGCGATCTTGTTGTAGCTAAAAGGGTGCTCAGTGGAAAATGAACGTCAACGCTGCAAGTACGTGACTTTGGCGTCCCAAAGCCATATC